GTAGTAGTAGTAGTAGTAGTAGTAATAGTAGTAGTAGTAATGGTAGTAGTAGTAGTAGTAGTAGTAGTAGTAGTAGTGTAGTAGTAGTGGTAGCAGTAGTAGTAGTAGTAGCAGTAGTAGTAGTAGTAGTAGTAGCAGTAGTAGTAGTAGTAGCAGTAGTAGTAGTAGTAGTAATAGCAATCGTAATAGTAATAGTAATAGTAATAGTAATAGTAATAGTAATAGTAATAGTAATAGTAATAGTAATAGTAATAGTAATAGTAATAGTAATAGTAATAGTGATAGTAGTACTGACAGCGCCGCAGGAGCAGTCGTACTCCAATGCTGTAGTAGTAGTACTGTTATAGTAATGTGGTGATAGTATACCCTAGTACAGCAATCACAGGGCTGAGGCTCAGGCTAGGCTTTGGTTGAGGCTTCGGCTTCGGCTGGGGTTCATGTTAGGTTGAGGCTGAGGCTTAGACTGAGGCTTAGGCTAGTCTTCGGCTAGGCTTAGGCTGAGGCTTACGCCAAGGCTTAGACCGAGGTTCGGGCGAGGTTCAGGCTATGCTTAGGCTGAGGTGTGGGCTAGGCTGCGGCTTAGGCTGAGGCTGAGGCTCAGGCTGGGCTTAGGCAAGGCTTAGGTTAAGCTGAGGCTTAGGCGGAGCTGGCTTAGGCTAAGGCTCAGGCGTGGCTGGCTTAGGCTGGCTCGGGCTGAGGCTCGTCCGCCCCAGGAAAAAGTTATCGCATCGTCGCGGAAGGCGTAATGCGAGAACATGGAGGACGCGGGTGTTCAGGTATTTTGTTTGGTCGGAGGCAGCAAGCGCATCAACCAACAACTCTCCTGCACGAGCCACCATAAGGACAAACAAAACATGAATCGCAGGGGGGCGATTCGCCCCCTGACCCGGATGGGGTTCAAGGGGGAAAAGCAGGAGGAAGAAGGAAGGAGGGGGAGGAGAGAAATGAGAGAGAGAAAAGAAGGACGACGATCACCACCACGACCGCGACCGCGACCACGACCACGACCACGACCACGACGACGATCACGCGGACGACGAGGTCGTGGTCCTCCTTGTCGACGGACACGAGCACCACCTCGTCGTCGTCATCGTACTCGTACGCGCCCTCCACGCGCCAGGGCCGCGAGCCACCCTTCGAGGCAGACAGCTTTGAAGAGCAGCTGATCTGATCACGCACCGGAGCTGCGGCAGCAGCGTCACCTCGAAGGAGACACGTTCGTCGTCCTCGTCCTCCTCCCCTCCTCCTCCTCCTCCTCCTCCTCCTCCTCCTCCCTCCTCCTCTCCACCTCCTCCCCTCCTCCTCCCTCCCCCCTCCTCTCCTCCTCCCTCCCTCCTCCTCCTCCTCCTCCTCCTCCTCCTCCTCCTCTCCTCCTCCTCCTCCTCCCCCTCCCACCTCCGCCTCCTCCCTCTCCTCCTCCTCCTCCGCCTCCTCCTCCTCCTCCCTCCTCCTCCTCCTCCCCCTCCTCCTCCTCCTCCTCCTCTTCCTCTCCTCCTCCTCCTCCTCCTCCTCCTCCTCTTCCTCTCCTCCTCCTCCTCCTCCTCCTCCTCCTCCTCTCTTAGCCGCTACCGTCGGGGTTGATTGGAGAGGACACGCGAGAGGACACGAAACCCTTCCAAGGGCCACATTGTCATAGGAATGCAAGAAGGCATGGGTCGCGCAGCTCAGGCCACAAAGGCACCCTCGATTTGGCAGGGTCGACCTACCAATCAGTCTCGACTGTACCACAATGGCCGCGTCTGCTTCCTCACACTCTGGACAGAGCCCGCTCCGCTGGCCCGCCGTGGCCTTGAGGAGTGCTCGGCTCGCTCTCCGAGAACGCCTGGGCAGGCCTTTCGCGGAGCCTGGCGCGCCCGCAGCCAAACCAAAAACAGGGATGACGGTGTACCGCCGGCGCCCACGTCAAAAAATAGGTCGGAAGAGCTTTGGCCATTCGTTTGGGACGGGGCATTTATTCCCGGCGGCAACTATGATCTCAGACTTGGAGGTCATTGGGGTGTTTGTGAGCCTCTGGCTCCTCCGCCGTTTCCTCAGTCTCGGCCTTCGACGGGCCAGAACAATCACTTTGCTTCGGGCGATCCCCACCAGGGAGCCGTTGCATATGGTTTCGAAGTCTTTCGCGCGTGGCTCTACAGATTGAGATGTTACGTAATCCCACCAGCCCTCTGAACGGAAGTGGTCTATCGAATTCTGCCCGTCCTCTTCTACGACCCCCCTTCTTCCGTTTCGTGGGGCGGATCTACCCCTTCCCCTATCCCCTCCCAGGGGTTTGGACGGGAGGGGCCCGATAAGCGTGCGAGATCGCCCCAAGGCGGCCCGAGAGGCCCCCAAGAGGGACTCAGGCTGGGCCAAGACGACCCCAAGACTGCCCCAAGATGGCCCAAAAGAAGAACCTCACGAGGCCCCCAAAGGCTCCCCAGAGAGACTCACGAGGGCCATGGGAGGGCCCCTGTTTCCCAGGAGAGCCCCACGGCAGCGCAAGACGGCCTCCAGACGGCCCAAGAGGCCCCAAAGACGCCCCAAGAGGCCCCAAAGACGCCCCAAGAGGCCTTAGCCTAGCCCCCAAGAGGCAAAATTCGCTCCATTCCCGAATGAAAACGTACATGTTTAGCACAGTCGTTTTTTGTGTAGTAGCAGCGTCCAAGACGGCCCAAGAAGCCTGCGAGATCGCCCCAAGGCGGCCCGAGAGGCCCCCAAGAGGGCTTCGAGCAGGGCCAAGAGGGCCTCAAGACTGCCCCAAGACGCCCCCAAAAAAGCTCACGAGGCCCCCAAAGGCTCCCTCGAGAGACCCACGAGGGCCATGGGAGGTCCCCAAGAGGGCCCAAGTTCCCCAATAAGGCCAAGAGAGACCCTTCAAAAGGACCCGCAAGACGGCCCAAACGGGTGCCCAGGAGGCCTCCAGAGGTCCCCAAAGCCCTTGAAAGGTAGAGGTTCTCCAACGAGGAGCCTCCGCAAAAAGACCTGCGGCTGACGGGAAATGGTTCGCAATGCCAGGCGAGAGCGTGGCTGAACGAGGAGTACAATGAGGAAGGATGAGGAGTTGCTGTCCATTGCCTTGCACTGAGCGACCGGGCGACGTGGGCCACGACAGAGCCCGTGTGGTGGCCACGCTAAGGATCCCCAACGTCATTCCTTTGCACGATCGTGTTTCTTCCAGAATGCGTCTCCTACGAAATTCAAAATTGACCCATCCCCCAGCTGGCGTTCTCACGCCAAGTGTTCGGGCCCGCTTCGAAACTCGAATCAAAACGCACCCCAAGAAAAAATCGGGTGGCGCACGGATCTGTAAAGCGAGGGCAAAAGCAAATAGGAACGGGTGAGGGGACTGGACGGGAAACAGCCGAAGTTCAAAAGCCAAAGAGGATGGCGCCAAGTGCCAACATGTGCAGGACTTGAGGGACAAAGGCGTATGGCGCGAAGCGCCAATGCAGTCTTCTGTGAACATTTGAGCATAATTGCTTGCTGTGCTGCAGTGGGTTCGAGATGTTGCAGGCCTGCAGCGCACGCTCTGCTGTATGAGAAATACCTGCTACATCCACCGAGGTGCAAATCGCATGGGCAGACAGGGACCTCTGGAGCCCACCGGCCTCAGCTCCCCAGGCCTTCCTGGTTGTCACAAGATGGAAAACTACAGGCACAATATTTGAGACCCATGCAGACCCGCTCCAGCTGATGGGAAGTTGCAAGGCTGACAGCCTTGCTGATCTCTCCGCTGCACAGGTAGCGCTCCCAAAAGAAGAAGCTCGGGAAACTCACGAGGCCGAGGAGCTGGTGCGGAAAGTGCGGCATCGTCGAGGTGCTGTGATGGAACATGCTGGCAAAACTGACTTGCGCGCGGAGATCGAGAAGGCAACAAAAGCTCCACCTAGACTACGTTATTCAATGTTGTAAGTTGGCTGCCAGTGCCTCCGAGCACACTTTCGAATTTGTGAAAGGCCGCTTGGGAAAACCATGTGAAAGCACGGCCGTCCAACTCCGCATCCTGCCACCGAGAGCGGCTCGACGGGCGGAAGAGAGGTGCCGCGGGGGGGCCCAGGTGGGCGCGTGGGATAAGCCACCCTGGTACGCAACGCGCAACCCGTAGCGTGTTGACACGGGGCTCAACGCGTAGACTGAAAACGTAGGCCTTGCGCGATGCGTTCGCCGAAACGAGGGCCAACACGTGCTGAGGCAGCAACACGGACGCCTTGAACACGGAGCGCGTTGCGCTTCACAACGGGCGCGGCAGAGCAGCCAGGAAGCCCTACGGAATACGTACGATGTGCTCGCGCGCACGTGTCGTGCCTGCTGTCTGCACGGCCTGCTGATGCTGCTCTGCGAGGGGCGGAGGCGCACGGCCGAAACCGATGATGCGGATGGGTAGACTTACCGAGGGAGCCCTTCCATCCCTGCCTCTTCGGCCCATCCTTAACCACGTTCGATGGCCAGCCCCGCTCGGAGACCTTCGGCATGATCTTCCAATGTCCTTGCATCCATGGCGCGAATCCTCATTATCAGTTTTGACTGTACTGCGCGGCCTGTCAATCAGGGGCGCGCAAACATGGCTTAGCGATTCATGGATTTGGCGCGCGCTCGCCAAATCCATGCACCGGGGGAGGTGCCCTCCCCAAAATGCGGCAGGTACCGCCTCGTTCGGAGGCGGAAATCAGCGACTTCCTATGGAAACGGGACCCGTCGCTAATCCACGCCCCCCTCGATCCATGTTTGCGATCGCCTGAACCAAGCGTGCGCACGTCAGCAGAGCCACTCAACGGCAGGCCTCGGAGGGTGCACCTGGGGCAGCCCCGGGCGCCGGACCGTGGCAGGCCGTCCCCAAGCAGCGGGCTACCAAGGCAAGCAGGGAGACCTGGCCGGGCCGACCGCTGCACGGAACAAGATTCTCCCCCTCCCCCTCCTCCCCCTCCTCCTCCTGCTCTCCTCCCTCCTCCTCTCCTCCTCCTCCGCCTCCTCCTCCTCCTCCTCCTCCTCCTCCTCCTCTCTCCTCCCTCCTCCTCCTCCTCCTCCTCCTCCCCCTCCCCTCTCCTCTCCTCCTCTCCTCCTCCCCCCCCCCCCCTCCTCCTCCTCCTCCTCCTCTCCTCCTCCTCCTCCTCCTCCTCCTCCTCCTTCTCTTTCTCCTCCTCCTATTCCCCTCCTCCTCCTCTTCTTCCTCCTCCTCCATTCCTTTTCCTTGTAAAACAATGTCTCCCTGTCGCACCCCGAGGCAAATTTTTAGGGCGGTCCGGGCGTTTCGCCTGAGTCTTCCTCACCGCTTATGACCCTGAAGCTTAAGATTTGGCAACAGTTTCACATATGGAGGGCGGTTGGTTTTCAAAATGTGGATCTTGCCTGAGCGTCGCGCACATTCGTTGTATATAGTTGCAAGAGCTTCACGGATTGAGGGCGGGTCGGTTTGAAATGTGGCTCTCGCCTAAGCACCGCGCACAGTCGTTTCACAAAATGCCAGAGTTTCATGCATTGAGGGCGGGTCGTTTTCAAAATGTGACTCTCGACTTAGCGCCGCGCACACTTGTTCAAAAAATGCAAGAGTGTCACGGATTGAGGGCGGCTCCTTTTCAAAATGTGGCTCTCGCCTCAGCGCCGCGCACAGTCGTTTGAAACATTTCGAAGAATTCCCATGATCAGCGTACCAGTCACTGTGTTTTATAAGGATTCAGGACTATGGAGGCGCAATAGTTCGTCAAGACGCAACAATCATGTTGATCCGTGGCGTTGGAATCTCGAGAACGATGTCTTGGCATGCGTCAGGGTCTTTGAACGGTTGTCTTCCAACGAAGCAGTCTCCTCACTAGAAATGAACCCTTGTAGGGACCTGTGAAGAGGGAGCTTGGAGGGAGAGTATATTCTAACATCGTTGATGATTCTTGGGTTTACACTGGTCCTCCTCCTCCTCCTCCTCCTCCTCCTCCTCCTCCTCCTCCTCCTCCTCCTCTCCTCCTCCTCCTCCTCCTCCTCCTCCTCCTCCTCCTCCTCCTCCTCCTCCTAATATTTTTTAATATCATTCATATGATTATATTGTATTAGCATGCGTCTTCGTCCTCCTCCTCCTCCTCCTCCTCCTCCTCCTCCTCCTCCTCCCTCCTACTTCCCCCCTCCCCTCTCCCCGCCAGCTCCCCCCTCCTGCCTTCCCCCCGTCCCCCCTTGTCCCGGCCGTCGCCTCGAAGGTGGCGTGGTCGCCCGGCGCCGTGAAGTCGCGGGCCTCGCCTGCATAGGTCCCGAGCCTGGGCCCCTGCGGGGGATCGTCCGCCATGGGCCCCGAGCTCAGGGGGGGGGGGCGTCACTGGCCGCAGCCCGTCGGCGGACGTGGCCGCCGCAGGCCGCGCCGACCTCCCGCGTGCCGCCACGGCCCCGGAGGCTCCAAAGCCTCCGGAGCAGACGACTCGATCTCGCTTCCAGCGTTCTTGCTCGCTCCGCCACCCTTGAAGGGGCCCCAGGACACACAAAGAAATACACACAGATAAAACTATTCCCCACAGTTTCCTATCTTTTCTGGGTTTGTCTTCCCCCCCACTTCCCACATTTTCCTATATTGTCTGGGGAATCGAGGATTAATTGTGTCTGTGTGTTTTTTCCTCTCCTGAACCCTGTGCGCGCACGGATCCATCTGGCGAGGGCTTGGAAACCTTGGGGGCGCTCAGACGCCCCGGCAACGTACACGGTGGGCAAACATTGATCCCCAGTCCGGGGGATTTGGAACCGTTCGCGGGCGTCCTTAAGTTCGCCCTCCCCGCCTCTTGCCGGGCCACGACGAGCACAGCTACCACTTGTGAGCACGCTGTGAGGACAATCCATGAGAGACATACTCTCTCCGATGTGGCATAATCCTCTTCACGCATCCCTCCTCCTAGCAAACCAATTCCCCCTGTCGCATCAATAGACGTGTCGTTAGCTGTGCGCTTCACCTGAGGCTTCCAAACAGCGGGATGCAGTGTCCACCAGGATGGACACCATGCACCGCCGACGTCGACGACGGATTCGAAAACGTACTTTACCACATCGACCACGACAAAACGTATACGCACCAGTTCCCCAACGACCACCTCCTCATCGACAAGTGGCACAGATCCCTCAACAAGTTCACCAGCGCATGCTTCACCAGCGTGACCTACCACATGTGCTCCCACATCCACTGCCACGACCAGGCCGGCACGGAGCTTCATTCTCACAATTCAGGGAACCCACAGCCAAACCGACACAACGTCCCATACTCAATCAAGCGGCGAGAGCAGACCACGAGCCACCACCACCACGACCGGTACGACCTAACGGCCAGACTGATACTCGAAGTCCCACTGCGAGACATGCAGAACGAGTATAACAACGACGACAACTTCCGCATCGACGTAGCACTGGCCAACCAGTGCATCCACGACAAGCTCCAAAGACCCAACGCGACCCCAGCAACAGGTGGACCACGGCATTCGCAAAGGTATCGCAACGGCTCTTCACAATCTTGGGAGGCGAGTGGGCAGAGGACCTATCAAGGACAGCAGCGGTGCTGGACAAGATCAGCTGCACTTTTGGGACACCAACACCGTGCGCACCAGACAGCACCAGCAGCCCTTCTGTCAAGCTCAAAACTCGGCAACAGGAGGCCTCAAACACCAGGAATCCAGGAACACTACCACGCGGACGAACCAGCTCCACCAGCAGAAATGACGACGCACCGCACGCCAGGAGACGACACAGCTCCAACCAAGGAGAAGACCGACATCCCAAACCGCCCTGCAGACAATCTCCAACAGCATCATCCACCACCATCATCAACATACCTGTCGTCTGCCCACCGCCAGCTACTTCAACGGCCAAATACAGATGGCTAGCAGACGTTCCACCGATACAGCGAACGCAACATACGCAGGCAGCCATTGCGACCTACCTTCCACCGAAAACTCCCGCACCCACCCATGGAAGATGGCCAACCGGGATCGACACCAATACCTACAGATGACCACGTACAATACAACGCGAACCACTGCGAGGAACCAACTTTGACAGACTATCCAAACAGAGCACAATCACACCAGCAGCAACACACGCAGTACTTAGCATAATTACAGAGGCACACAAACGACGACCCACCACCACCACGCAAAGCACCACCAGCCGACAGGTAAAGTACCAGTCCGCACCATGGTACAAGTAGCCTCGTACCCTGCATGGGAGCCCTACGGGGCAAACTTCGAGAAGTGGAACGAGAACTACAAAGGCGACAGGAAGCGCACCTACTCATTGCCTACCTCATCCACGCATGCATATCACTTCACCTTTGCGGGGAAGCTGGTGGGGAGACTATTGTGGGGAAGGGTGCGGTACGCTGGCATCACAACTTGTACCCTCCATTGCACGGGTCTCTGCGCATGAGCTCACCCCATACCCTGGGGATCCCGTGTCACCAGTGACTGTACTCGCACCGCCTTAGCTTCCCTGCAACAGATGTAGCGCGCTAACTACAGCCAGCTCTCTTCTACCTCATCAAGATATGATGGCGTTCGGGGTGCAGGGGATCCCGACAGGATCGATATGCCTGCTGGGGACGCGATATTTGCGACGTGCGGCTCGGCATCGCATGCCGTATTGTACTGCGTCGCCATTAATATGTTTCGTCCGCCTGTTGCTAGCGACGTGCGGCTCGGCATTACTGCCGTGTTCTGTTGCCTCGCCAGCATCGCGCACCTTACGTCGTGGATGCATGGGGTGGCAGGATGGGATTAGAGGAGTGGGGAAGGAAGTCGGGAAGGAGCACGCACCGCAACAGCATTGGCCAGCCAGTACCGCCTGTGGCAGCCTTTTGCTACGTTACTCTATTATACACC